ACATATATGACAATACTCTCATTTCATGAACGAATTTGACAGAGATTTTGTGCAGCCAATCATTTTGATAGCTTATCCTCTTGTCATCAATTAACGACAAATCCATCACAAGAAGAAGACAAATCCATTGGCCAGTTTCTTCTTGTTTGTTTTGGTTACTAAAGATTCTAAAGAGAATGGTAACTGTGAAATTCACAATAATCACTTGATCATAACCAACAATGAATTTAACATCATTCACTTTATTTCACAAATTTAAATAATATAAGTCAGCAGTCCACATGGAAGAAGAATCAGATTGTTGTCAAGAAAACTCATGAGGAAACATTTAGCTCCTTGGAAGATTTGTTTTCGTCAACTGAGGAGTGATCATTGGAGTGTTGAGACAGAGAAGAATCTTCATCGCTTGTGTCCGATACAAACATTGGTTGTGTTGGCTTAGGAAGATCTGTTGTTGAAGTAAGCATTGACACAACTTGTTTGATGTTTGGTCTATCAGTAGCTTGATGTTGAACACAGAGCAGACCAATCTGTACACATCTTCCGGCTTCAACTGAATTAACTGAATCAGAATCAGCAAGATCTTGGTCCAGTAGTTTCACTCCCCCGGTTTCGCTCCACGATTCCCATGCCTGTTAGAACAAATTGAAATATCCGCAAAACGTGTAAGAATTAAGAATCGAACTCTAGACCCTCCAAGTGTTTTAAGATATGTTCTTACGTATGAAAGAAGGTTTTTGCTATCTTTGCCATAGGTGAAGCTTGAAATCTCCTTGCCGGTGATGATTTCTAGCATTAGAACTCCGAAGCTGTAAATGTCGGATTTCTCAGAGAACGTTCCTGTCCAAGCATACTCGGGAGACATGTATCCTCTGTTCAAATTCATTCAATAGTTAGTCAAGTTGAGTATAAACATGAAAGACGTTTGATTGAACATGTCATAAGGATGGGACTGGTTTCTTACAGAGTTCCTACGACACTGCCAGTGTTGTCTTGATATTGACTTTTTTGAAACATCCGAGCCAATCCAAAATCCGATATCTTTGGGTTCATTTTCTCGTCCAAAAGAATGTTGCTCACCTTCAGGTCGCGGTGTACAACTTTGAGGAAAGAATCGCGATGAAGATAGAGAAGTCCACGAGCAATTCCTTGAATGATATTGAATCTCTTAGCCCAATCTATCTCGAGCTTTTTCTTCAAATCTGTTGGCCAAAAGTATAGCAGAAACCGATCAGCATAAAGAAATTCTAATGTCATAGCGAGGAGAAAAGCGAAAAGGGACCTACCAAAGAGAAACGTATCAAGACTGTTATTCACCATATATTCATAGACTAATAGCTTCTGTTCTCCATCAATGCAACATCCCAAAAGCCGAACCAAGTTTCGGTGTTGTAGTTTCGAGATGAGTTTTATCTCGTTCATGAACTCCTGTGTGGCCTGTACAGAGCTGCTAGAGAGACGTTTTACAGCTATTTCCTTCCCATCGTGAAGCTTCCCCTGAAGGCATCATAGTTGTAGACATTCATATAAAGAACAAAAAATATCAGAATGGAGAAGAGCAAATAGAAGGAACCATATCTCTTACCTTATAAACCGTACCGAACCCACCCTGACCGAGTTTATTTAACATGCTGAAACTATTTGTGGCGGTTTGTAGTGTATGAATCTCAAAGAAATTTAAACCTGAGACATCTTGCGATTGCAAATCACTCTTCCAAGCACCTTCTACATTGTCTTTGGATACAAGACTTGAACCTACGAGTTACAAGTGTCCATGTATTAGCACAGAATTTCTAGCAGTCAAATGCATTGAGCTAAAGCCCAAATAGACGTCTGAAAGCTAAATTGAAACAAGGGATACCCAAGTAAATATAATATTTAGGAAGATCAAGAGATGAATGTCGAAGACAGACAAGCTATTTGGACTCATACCATTTTTTTTCACTCTGTATCTCCAACACCCATATGCAGCAAAGACCAAGATTATGAAAACCGAGACGCTGAGAGTGCTAATAGTAATCGTCTTGATTCGCTTGCTTCCAGCTGAAAGGGTCACATGAACACTAAAATGTAAACCACACTGCTACGTGCTACCCAAAAAGAACACTATAAACAAACTTTAGAGTTTATATGATTGCGTGTATAAGAAAGGCTTACGCAATTCAGAACGTGCAAGACGAAGGGAAAGAGACTCTCCTCCTGTAGTAAATTTCACCGTGTCCAATAGCTCCCGGTTCCACACCAAACATCCTATTCCACTGATATAGGAAAAGGCTGTGCAAGAACAGTTGTTGAGACAGCCTTGGTGGCATTGTTCTTCATTGCTAAAGCTTGCTAATTCGTAAGAATCTGGAGGCTTTATGTTGGCAACGCGATAGAAGACATCTCTGTCTTTGCCCTGCGTTTCTGCATAAGAGTTTCCTTGACAAGATAAGTCTGTGCGTCTCACACACCCACGGCTCCAATTTCCATTTCTCCACTCCTCATCTGACTTTGGTTCGAACCCTTTCAAGCATTGGCACATTGGAGTACCGGATCTCACACACAAACCAAAAGGTCCACATGTACCATACAGATCACATGAGCTTACCGGACCCTCAAAGTGTTTGATCCAGTCGGTTCCATTATTCCGTTGAATCCTCAACGATCCCTCTGATGTTAGCTTGATGTATGACAAATTGAAATTTCTCAGTACACAAAAAGCGAAAACTCCTGTGCCGTTGACTACATCTTGAACCATTCCCAATGGATTCACATATGATTCATCCATTTCTGGTATCCCAGTGAACCTTGTTCCCGCCCATGGTCCGCTTCTCCAATAGGGCGACGATCCTTTCCATACAAGACCCTGCGAGGGCACTTGTGGTGTGATCTCAGCTACAAACTCCCCCGGTGATGGATCAGTCTCACTTTTCCAGGAAGTCAGCACACGTTTCTTGTTGTTAGGAGTATCATACATCAGAGATGTGAGTGGTAGCATAGTATCACCAAGATGCTCAAAACTTTGCCACAAATAATTTCCAGTAACATTATCTACGAGGACAAGATTTCCCGTGTCTAAAAGCTCAGCACGACACTTGTTAGACGTGAGATTTCCACCTCCAGATGTCCACACAGGATCTTGCTTGCCATCAAGCAAGATAAGACTACCATTGCCGCTGATTGTGAGATTCGCCGTGGGGCTTGAGACTGGTTGTTCTCTGTTAGCCACCCAAACAACAACCCGAGGAGTGACTTTCTGGAACCAGATTCCAACATACTGATTCCCGGAGTTGTTAGCACTGAAGAAGCCTACCTCATAAGATCCACCAGGAGAGCTCAGAGTTTGCCCGATCGATAAAGGACTTGATGTGGTTATAGCTGCATAGCCAGAGCTTGAGAACATGGTTGTTATCATTAGCAAGCATGCAACAATACCCATCATCTTGAAATTTCAAAGTATAAACAAAAAGTTATTTTGGTGAACTCAAAGAATAGAAAGAAACAATTCTCCTTTAGTGTCATCTATAAACATAATAAGTAATTGAGTCTTCTGCTACTTAAGACACCGAAGATTGACCAAGTTTTAGATCACAATACTTGACCTATTCAAAGTTTTCTTTTTTTTTTTCTGGTGCATTAATGTATCACTTATCAATCATCATTCCTTTAAGTTCCTTTCTACAATTAAACAGAAGTAAACAATAAAACGTTGAAACAATCAAATTGACGCCAAAAAAAAAAAATACTTTTCAGCTTTCACACATGTTATTTTTCCCATGAAAGAGATTAACGCAAAAGCAGGGACCTGGATGATATAAAAGCTTTACATTTCTCAAATATCTCCTTCAAAATATCATTTTTCTCTCATACAAACTGCAATGATAACAACGCATAGATCAATCAGCTTGAATAAGATTTCAGTTTTCTTGCAATTCTCCCAGTTAAGAGAAATTTCTTAATGCACGGTACCTGTTTTGGTAAATTTGTTGTGCCACCCACCAACTTCTGTATTTCGACTCAAACGAAGTCAAATATTGGAAAGTTTAAATCTCAGTCAGTCATTTCGTCGAACACAATCAGCGGATTCCTAGCGTTCAAACCTTCTGATAGAAAACGGAAGAAAGACTACAAAAAAAAAAAGTAAACTGTGATTGATACATCATGTTGTGGTCATCTGGGCATAAGCGCTTTGATCCAAAGTCGTCAGCTTTAACTGATAAAAAAAACTTCAAGAATACAAAATTTCTAATATTTGGAGACACAAAGAGTCAAAGACTATGCCTTTGGATATTTTGAGCCATGTTCTCTTTCTGTAACGGACACAAATAGTCAATGACTCGTGCCCTTTGAACATTTAAGCCCTACACTATAGAGAATTGGCTTTAAGTCTATCAAATAATTAGCGTGTTCTTTTACTTCACGCTGCGTCTTGTGGCAGCGACCAGAAAATCCAGCGTCATCTTTTGACACCAACCCCTTTAAATTAATTCTGCCCAGCGTCACCTCTTAATCTCCGCCACAGTCATATACCGTCGTTTTACTCTGTTCCTAACTACGGTGATCACCGTTTTTGCTCGCTGCTGCTGACGCAACGTTAAGCAAAAGATTAAACATAACCCCTAATCCTATATCTTTACAACAATTTACAATTGTTTTGAGTTCTGTAAACCAATGCTATTATCGACCAAGTATAGCAGTTTGTGTTAAATCATTCACAGAATACACAGTCTTAGAATCTGAATCACTCTCTTGTATCTGCAATGCGAAAACGGGTTGTTTTGGTTCCGGAAGATCCATTTCTGTAGTAAGCATTGTAACTACTTGTGCAATGTTTGGTCTATCCACAGCTTGTTGTTGAATACATAGCAAACCAATCTGTACACATCTCGCTACTTCGACTTGAGAACTCGAACTAGAAATATCTTGATCCAATAAATCCGCTCCACCACTCTCGCACCAAGATTCCCATGTCTTTTAACATTTTGATGAACACAAGCATGTAAGAAACGTTTGATCCATAATCAGATTCAAGAAAGATAAGAGTGTGTAGTTTTGGCTTACGTATTCGAGTAGGCTTTTGCCTTCTTCTGCAATGGTGAAGCTTGAAATCCTCTCCCCGGTTATGATTTCCAATAACAGAACTCCAAATGCATAGATGTCGGATTTCTCAGAGAACATCCCTGTCCATGCGTACTCTGGGGACATGTATCCTCTGTTCATTTACCAAACAAATAATATATAAGCAAGTTAAGGCTTTGATTGAGCTTGTTAGCTATAAATACAGGGAAGCTAGATACATACAGAGTTCCAGCAACCCTGCGAGTGTTGGCTTGATGTTGGGTTCCTTGAAACATCCGAGCCAATCCAAAATCTGATATTTTTGGGTTCATGTCCTCGTCTAAAAGGATGTTGCTGACCTTCAAATCTCGGTGCACAACCCTGAGACATGAGTCACGGTGAAGATAGAGAAGTCCACAAGCAATACCTTGAATGATTTCAAACCGCTTGGGCCAATCAAGCTCAATCTTTTTCGTTGAATCTAGCCAAATTATAATCAAACTAGTCAGCTAAACACATGAACAAGAGTTTCAGATGATGAAAATAATTGGAAAGGTTCAGAGGTCGATGCAGTAAGGGACATACCAAAGATAAAGGTATTGAGGCTTTTGTTCAACATGAACTCATAAATCAATAGCTTTTCTTCTCCTTCAATGCAGCATCCCAAAAGCCGAACCAAGTTTCTGTGTTGGAGTTTCGAGATGAGTATTATTTCATTCATGAACTCCTCTAAACCCTGTCCAGAGGTACTCGATAGGCGTTTTATAGCTATTTCCTTCCCATCTTCTAGCTTTCCCTGGATCCACAGTTGGAGATAGTCAGTCATATAGTGAACAGAGATGAGAGTGAGAAAAGGAAAAGAGCAGATAAAGCATAATCAATCTACCTTATAAACTGGACCAAATCCACCTTGACCAAGCTTATTTTCTATGCTGAAGTTATCGGTGATGGTTAATATGGTTTGCATCTCAAAGAAATATACATCTTGTGGTTTCAGTTGTTCCTTCCATGCATCTTGTGAAGTCTCCATGGATGTAGGAGTTGAGTCTATAATTTACAAATATCCAAGAGTCAGTACCAAATTTCTAGCAATTTAGTGTTCAAAGGCTAAGCTTAAAAAAGAAGCAAACAACAGGAATAGAACTATTCATCATTTTGTTAACAAACAAAGGAATTGATGAACAAGAAAACAGAGTAAGAGGGCCATTAAGCAGTTCACTGTCTCACCATTTTGTTTCGTTTTGTATCTCCAGAACCAATAAGAGGCAAAAACCAAGATCATGAAAACAAAAATGCTGACAATGCTAGCTACGATAATCTTGGTTCGATTGCTTCCAGCTGAAAGATGCACCAGAAAATTAAACTGTAAACAAGAACTTCATAAAGAAACTTGAGATTTTCTGAAGTAATAAGAACAATACTTAAAGGTCTTTGTCATGCCCTACCCAACTCAGAACTTGCAAGACGAATGGAAATTTTTTCTCCTCCAGCAGAAAACTGCATTACATCGACAAGCTCTCGACTCCACACCAAGCATCCAATTTGTTCTATATAGGCAAATGCCGTGCAAGAACAGTTTCCAAGACAACGCTGGTGGCACTCTTTTTCATTGATCAAGCTTAGATATTCATAAAAATCTGGAGGCTTTACATTTGCAACAATGTCGAAGACGTCTACATCGTTGCCTTGTGTTTTTGCAGAAGAATTCACAAGACAAGATAAATCTGTTCTTCTCGCACACCCCCCAGTCCAATTCCGTCTATTCCACTCCTCATCTGATTTTGGCATAAAGCCTTTCAAGCATTCACACTTTGGGGGATCAGATCTCACACATAGCCCGAAAGTTCCACATGTATCATAAACCTCACATGAACTTACTGGGGCTTCAAAGTCCTTAACCCAACCAGAGCCATTATTCCAAAGAATCTTCAACGATCCCTCTGATGTTAGCGTAGTGTACGACAGGTTAGAGTTTCTTTGTAACGAATAAGTCAAAAACCCTGTGCCAGCTGCTACATCTTGAGAAATGCTGAATTGGCTAACATGTGATTGATCCATTTCTGGTGTGCCAGTGAACCTTGTCCGTGCCCATGGGCCGCCTCTCCAGTACGGCCTTGATCCTCTCATTATAAAGCCTTGTGGGGGCACTTGTGTCGTAAGCTCAGCTACAAATTCTCCAGGTGAAGGATCTGTAGGAGTTTTCCAAGAAGATAAGACACGTTTCTTGTTATTTGGAACATCATACATGACAGATGATTCAGGTAGCATAGTATCACCAAGATGCTCAAAACTTTGCCATAAAGTTCTTGCGGAAACTTCATCAACGAGGACAAAATTTCCGCTGTCTTTTAGCTCAGCACGAACCTCATTAGATGAGAAAGTTTCTTCTATTGACCAAACGAGATCACCTTCTCCCTCAAGCAAGATAAGGCTCCCATTGCTGCTAATACTGAGATTCGCCGTGGTTTTTGTGACTGGCTTATCTCTGTTAGCCACCCACACAACGACCTGAGGAGTGATGTTCTTGAACCAGACCCCAACATACTGATTCCTAGAATTGTTAGGACTGAAGAATCCTAGCTCATAAGATCCACCAGGGGAGGTCAGAGTTTGTCCTATTGACAAAGGACTTGCTTTGGCTATGGCTGCAGAGCCACAACTTGGGAAGGTGATTAACAAAAAGAGCAAGGAAACAAAGAAAACAATAACAATCTTTCCCATTTGATATGCAAGAGCTCTTCTTAAGATTTGAATGTATGAGAAAAGCTCATCTTTATAAAAGTCAATGCAATAACAGAACAAACTTCCTTCATGTACATCTTACAAAAAATGAAACCTCTCGGATGTGTCCATGTACTGTATACTTTGATTATTATTTTATTATTAAAGAAAAAAATCATAGACTTCATTGACCACGAGAATCACATCTCTCCATTCACACCAAATAAAAGACAAAATTCTTTAATTTTAAATTCCATGTTGCTCAAGCAGATAACTTTGAATATTCTCTGAACCATAACCATAAATAGAGTCAACAACTTTCCATCTAACCAATCCCATCACAATTCACAAACAAGTATTCTCCTTTCACATTTTATAGGAAATCGAAAGACTAACACAAAACAGAGCACGTGAAGTCTTTTGTAACAGTTTTTACTTGCAGCTATATTATGTGTAGATTCATCAGTTTTGAAACAAAAAAAAAACCAATACGAACTTTTCAAGTTACTTATAAACAGCTATAATTAATATGTTAAATCGTAATTCGTAAGCAATGGATTTTGGAGTATAAACAGCCAAAAACTAAAGACTATTGTGGACTAAGGACAATACAAAAGTTGGCTAATAGTGGACTTTTCATGAGCACCTTCAACTATTGGTCCCCACTTCCCAGACTTTGATTGACACTTGCATTCTCGTTCGCGCATTTCACCGAACACATTCAGTGCATAACTTAGACGTTCCAAAGTTCAAAGCGATTGTGATATCCTCGGACCTTTACAGAAAGAGACAGCTAATACCCAGAAAAGTATGGCGAATCAACCCAACTTCTACCATCTGGGCATCAACGATTGTAACCAAAGTCGCAAACTTTCACCGGCAGGAGCCGAAGTGCAGGGAACGCAGGAGTAGGCGATAAAGCCTTAAAAATGCTTATTTTAGTTCTAAAATTTCACACTTTGGTATTGGTAACAATATTTTATCGACTCTTTTGACCAAGTCAATGAGACAACAACAATAAAGTAAGACATCAAAATTTTAAGCTTTCAATGTTCATCAAAATCTTCTACAAGTATATATATATACTACTTCTCTAGTTCTGTGTACTACTTCTGTAGTTCTGTGGTTTGACATGGATCTGCTTATCGTCCTTGGATCACAGATTGTGTTAACTCATTCACGGAGAAGTGATCGTTAGACTTTGAGTGTGACATTGACACATTGTCTAGAGTTTGCACTGCAAATACTGGCTGCTTCGGTGTAGGAAGATCTGTTGTTGTCGTGAGCATTGACAGTAACTCAAGTGTGTTGGGTCTATCAGCAGCTTGGTGTTGAACACAGAGAAGACTAATCTGAACACATCTCGCAACTTCAAATGTGTTGCATGAATCATCAGTAAGATCTCTATCAAGAAGATCCGATTCCCCGGTTTCGCACCAAGATTCCCATGCCTGGACATAAGAAACAAAAAGTGTTTCAAGATGTTTCGAAATGGGAAGTGTTTCAAAACATTTGTAGTAAAATGTGTCCACTTACGTATGCAAGAAGGCCTTTGGTCTCATTGTGATAGCTGAATCTTGAAATCCTCTTGCCGCTGATGATTTCCAACATCAGAACACCGAAGCTATAGATGTCGGACTTCTCAGAGAACAATCCTGCCCATGCATACTCGGGAGACATATATCCTCTGTCCACGATTCAAATAGTTTGCATCAAGTTAATATGGGATGATGAAGTATGAATCTTTTGTTAAGCATGTTTTCAAAGAACGGTTCTTACAGAGTTCCAACAACCCGACGAGTGTTGTCCTGAAATTGGGTTCCCTGAAACATCCGAGCCAATCCAAAATCTGATATTTTTGGNNTCATNTTCTCNTCNAGAAGNATATTGCTNACCTTCAGGTCTCGGTGAATGACCCTAAGGCGTGAGTCACGGTGGAGATATAGAAGTCCACGGGCAATACCTTGAATGATGTTAAACCTCTTTGGCCAATCAATCTCGAACTTTAGAGTTGAATCTAGACAAAAAGATAGACCAGATTAGTGATAGTAGTGACAGTGACACATTGATAACTCTCAAACGATGGAAAAACGAAGAGGTCAAATGGAATATAGAACTTACCAAAGAGGAAAATGTCAAGGCTTTTGTTCACCATAAACTCATAAATCAATAGCTTCTCTTCTCTTTCGATGCAGCATCCCAAAAGACGTACCAAGTTTCTATGTTGTAGTTTTGAGATTAGTGTTATTTCATTCATGAACTCCCGTGTACCCTGACCGGAGCTACTAGAAAGGCGTTTAACCGCTATTTCTTTCCCATCTATCAACTTTCCCTGGAAGAACAGTTGCACATAGTCATGTGGAGAACAAAAAGAAAATGC